CCGATGTGCACACTACTTTGTGTGTGCCCTCCAAGGGTGTCTTTGTTTCCCCCAGACCTTTCAGAGTCCTGCAGTCAGATCCCAGTAGCCTTCAAAGTCTGATTCTCTGGGAATTCCTCCTCCCATTTCCTGACCCCCAGGTTGGGAAGCCTGACACGTAGCTTAGAACTTCACTCCGGTGGTGGACTTCTGTGGTATAATTATTCTTCAGTTTGTGAGTCACCCACCCAGCGGTTACGGGATTTGATTTTTATCGTGATTGTGCCCCTCCTACTGTTTGACTGCAGCTTCTCCTTTGTCTTTGGATGTGGGGTTATCTTTTTTGTTGAGTTTCAGTGTCTTCCTATCGATGATTGTTCAGCAGTTAGTTGTGATTCTGGTGCTCTTGCAAGAGGGAGGGAGTACTTGTCCTTTTACTCCACCATCTTGAACCAATCTCTATTACTGTACATTTAAAAAGTATAAATTTAATATACAGTTATCATCTGAGCAAGTGATATTGTGAATGTATCTTTCTAGATTAAGTAAAAAAAAAAAAAAACTGATAGCTACATTCCAAATGATGATCAATGTGATTAGCTCGCTCAACCTTTTTTTTTTTTTTTTTAAGTTTCTCTGAAATGTGAAGTTTTCCTTCATTGGGCTTGAAGCAGTAGCCTAGGAGGAAATGATTTCAAATGGTTGATCAGCCTAAAACTTGAAAGGCTAAACCACTTGCTAAAATACGAACTTTGATTCCTGTTTTTGTTTGTTCGTTTGTTTTTGTAGTTTGCCGCAGTATGTGATCACGGCCCTTAGAGTTGCAGTTGTTTGCTTGTAGTGGTACTCTTCTACTCCCTTCACACATAGAAGTGAGTTTTGCGACTGCCTCTTTTTGGCAGTACTTTATTATTATTATTACTTGGAGAAATAGAAAGTGTTTTCTTCTTGTTCAAAGTGTGAGAGAAATGGCTGTCATTTTTTTTCCTCTTTGGCTTTTGTTGAAATCATTTTACCCGGCCAGTAGCACCATAAAGAAATAGAGCTTTGGAAAATTTATCCTGCAAAGATTTACATAAATGTTTACATCTAGGCTGTTCTTGTCAGGTAGTTTTCGCAGAGGATTACTAAAAGAAAATGTTGGCCGTCATTAGTAGCATTTTGAGATGTATCTTTAGGTGCTGCTGATTAGTGGTGACTAGAAATGAGGCAAGCGTGCAATTAAAATAGAACTTGAAATGAATTGTATATACCAATGCTAGACTTGACAGATGGAGATTCTGGATTAACAAGAAGACGAGTGCATTATGTATTGCTGTTGTTAGCATTTCAGAAATATGCCCACTTTTGTAAATGATATCTAGTTTTTATAAGGCATTTATTCCACAAGTTGTCGGGAATATGGTTATTTGGAATCATGGACGTCACAAAGGACTGACTTTTTTAATGCACTCATGCATGTCTCTAGTTATGAAAATGCAACTGTATGCATGTAATATCTTGTTTTCATAATTTACATTTTCAGCAGTGACAGAAAGCAAGAATCACATAATTATTCTGAGACACTTTTAGCCACATTGCACTGAACAGTTTTTATATGGAATAAATGCTTGTTGGATGTTTCCCAAGTGAAATGACAGATAACTTAACTTGTACGTAGCTGAGCCTCTGTCCGTGAAAAATCCCCAGTGCGGTCGTGCTCCGTTGTAGGCCACTTCTTCGAATGAAAACATTGCAAGGTATTTTAAAGGGTGCCATTTATTCATTTCAAGTAGTCTTGAGAAGGAGTTAGGTCTAAGCATATTTATTAAATGACCAGTAAAGTTTTTTGGCTAGGAGCCTATGTCTTGCAACAAAGAAGGATCGCTCTGTGGGTAAGGCATTGGATGTACCTTTAGGAAACATAACTCACTCTTTAGGGAGCTCATGAAATATGTAAGGTAGACAAGCTTTAAACTATTTCATTGCTATTAGAAAAATGGTATTCTTTTAGAATTGTTGTATTGGTGAAAAATTGTACATTTGTTTTAGAACATGCTTGGAAGAGGTGAACACTAATAGGCTTGAGACAAGCTTATATAGGTCTTGGAAAAGCATCATTGACGAGCTCAAGTTTTTTTAATTAAAATAACTAAAAATGAATTGTTCATATGCAGCATTAAAGGATATAAAATCTAGAATATTCTCACAAGCGGTAGACTGATTCTTAAATGATACTTACACGAACCAAGAAAGAGCCATTACAGACTCTGTTTTCATCAAATTCTACAGCAGTTCTTTTTCTCCCCCAGCTTTATTGAGATATAAGTGACATATATAACGTTGTGTACGTTTAAAGTGTACAGTGTGATGGTTTGATACACATATATATTGGGAAATGTTGACCACAATAAGGCAGTTCTTTTTAAAGTTTAGTGTAAGCACCAAGATTTTCAGGAGAACTTGCTAGACTCTGTACACCTAGTGCCTTTCCCATGAGCTCCAAGGTGATGCTCATGCTACTGGTCGTTTATCGCACTTTGAGAGCAGTGCTGCGACAGACCGACAGCTGATACAGTCAGTAGTTTGTTTTCATATATGCATTTTTTTTTTTTTTTTTTTGAAGGATCTATAAAACTGGGGCAGTGCTTGCTTCCAGCAAGGCAATGTGAGTGAACAGGGGTACAAGGGAGGTTTACTTTTTACTGTACCCTTTTGCTTTTTAAAACTATGCCATGGGGGTTGGAAAGGAGAGAAAAAAGGACAGAGATGAGGGGAGGGGAAAAGGAGGGAGGGTGGGAGGAAAGGAAAGGAAAGGAAAGGAA